ATATGAAAGTTTATGCTTTTGAGTACACATTATTAAGGGTGCTGGGCCAAACTCATTCTAATTGGCCCAAATCACATGAAAATGAGAAGAACTAACAATGTAAAAGAAAGCACACCAACTGTTGCTTCAAAGCTCAAACCCGAGATCTCTCCAGATTCCTACAGCACAACAAATGGGTGCATGTAACTGCCAGTGGAATGCCTCCACAGGTTCCACGCAGATTTTGGACAATTGAAAACAGAATTCTTTTAAAGTTATTCTTTGAGTTATTTCCTATTTTTGTGTAGAGACCAGAGCAACTAACGAATGAAAACAATTTGTGGGGTACCGTATCATGCTTAAAGAGCATAGTTGGGTCCATGGCCATCATGGTGGGGAGCAGGACAGCAGGCAGGTGGGCAAGGCACCGAGCAGTAGCTGAGAGCTCACATCTAATCCACAAGCATGACACAGAGAGAGGGACAATTGAAACCTAAAAGCCCACTTCCTGGTGACATACCTTCACCAACAAGGCTATATCACCTAACCCTTCCCTAAAAGTTCCACCAACTAGACCAAGGATTCAAACATGAGGCTATGGACAGTCATTTTTTTTATTTTATTGATTTTTATCCATTTTTCTATGCTCTCCTCCCTGCCTCTCTCCTCCCCTTCAACCCTCCTCCAAGGTCACCATGCTCCCAATTTACTCAGGAGATTTTTCTACTTCCCATGTAGATTAGATCTATGTATGTCTCTCAGTGTCCTTATTGTCTAGGTTCTCTGGGACTATGATTTGTGGGCTGGTTTTCTTTACTTTGTGTTTAAAAACCACTTATGAGTACATGTAATACTTGTCTGTGTCTGGGTTACCTCACTTAAAATGATGTTTTCTAGCTCTATTTTCCTGCAAAATTCAAGATGCTGTTATTTTTTTCTGCTGTGTAGTACTCCATTGTGTAAATGTACCACATTTTTATCCATTTTTCAGTAGAGGGGCATTTAGGTTGTTTCCAGGTTCTGGCTATGACAAACAATGCTGCAATGAACATAGTTGAGCACATTGGACAGTCATTTTTATTCGAACCACCACACTCGGCAAATCCAGGTCAGTAAATATGAATGCTCATTTGTTTTCCTTTGAGACTGTGTCTCACCATGTAATTCTGGCTGTCTTGGAATTCACCATGTAGACCAGGCTAGCCCTGACCTCAGGATCCTCCTACCTCTGCATCTTGAATGTTGGGAATAAAGGCGTGCACTCACTAGCTTTCATGCACATCCACTTCTCAGAGTTTGTGCAATTCTTTCTGGAAGGCTACCGTGTGGGAAGAGCGTTCTCTACTCTGCACCATCTGTTGATATAGATATAAATAATTTGCATTGGTATGGATTTTATGGTCAATTTTGTTATATGTATATGTATTTCTGATCTTGATTAAGGTATTGCAATTGTGTAGTTCATTTAAAAATGTACTGTATAATTAGGAAATATAGGTTGTTAATGGATAATCATTAATAGTAAAGCTTGTAGTCATGTTAGATTTTCTAGATATATAGAGATATATTTCAGTTAGATAGGCATTCTTCATATCTCGCAAAGGCTGCAGAATATGGCATTTAAATGTTTTAATAACTTAGGGTTTTTCATGACAATGAGACATGTCTGCTCCTGGAAACACCAATCTACTTCAAGAGGAAGACGGGCATCGAAGAGGATCCTTATGGAGTTTGATAGCCTTTGGGCAAGAAACTGTTCTTGCCTGGACTGTTGCATAAACTGGACACAGAGAACCCGCAGAGAGAGGACTGCTGAACTTGCCTAAAGGTGAGATGGTCTTTCGGGGTTCCTGATTCATGAAAGAGTCTGCGAGTCATTCTGCAGGACACAGCAGAAAATGACTGAACTGTCTTTGAAATTTCCTGCTTCTTGGAAATGTCTGATGGATATTATGGGCCTGAAGGCTGAAAATGGATGCCCCAACGTACCGAAGAACTTTGGGTGACTGTCCAGGCAGCGAGATGTCTCTGTCATTTCTAGAGTTTTCTTATTTCTTGTTTACTTAGGTATTATTATATCCTTCTGGAGTCTTTGATGGAGTTGAAGAATGAATAGATAGTTATAGTTTTCCTTTGTTATGATAAAAGATAAAATAGATATAAATATTGTAACTGTAATTCTTACTTGATAACTGTTTTGTGATATATAATTTTACTATGTTAAAGTTAAAGCCTTTCTTTTTTTGTTTAAAAAGAAAAAGGGGAAATGATGGAGGTGGGTCTTGTAATAATAAAGAAACTGCCTCGGCCCTCATAGGACAGAAAATTAGGTAGGCGGAGTAGACAGAAGAGAATGCTGGGAAAAAGAAGCTGAGTCGAGGAGTCGCCATGGTTCTCCCACTCCAGACAGATGCAGGTTAAGATCCTCCCTGGTAAGCCAGCTCGTGGGCTACACAGAATATTAGAAATGGGTTAGAACAATATGTAAGAGCTAGCCAATAAGAGGCTGGACCTAGCCGGGCCAGGCAGTGTTTGAAAGAATACAGTTTCCGTGTAATTATTTCTGGGCATAAGCTAGCCATGCGGGCGGCCGGGTGCCGGGGACGCAGCCCTGCCGCCGCTCCTAATTCAACAATCCGTAGCTCACCGCTTTCTTACATGCGAGCCCACACACTGACCTCACTTCAGTCAAGCCTTAACTAACAATTTATGAGTTCCATACTGGCAAATCCATAAACTGAGTCTCAGTCTTCGCAGTAGTGCCAGACACAATTATTTTCTATTGGAAAAATATAAGAACCCCCCACTCCCATAACACACTACCTTTCCTTAGTGGCTTCTATCTTCAGGAGATCCATCCTGATTGAGACTTCATCTTCTGGGGTTAAGGGTTAGCCCCTAGGTGGCTAATCTTATGTCTCTATAGTGAGCACCCCTCTTGGTGAGCTCATCCATACTAGCTACTCAAATTGGCATCTCTATGCTGATAGACTTAAGTTGTATTTCATCTTGGGCTCTACCTACTAGGCCCTGTCTTAAAATACTCATTTAAATGCACATTTTCCTGTACAAATCCATTAGATTATTGAATAGAAGGTTGGTCAAGTACGTGCTACAAGCCATTGCATACAGCTTGCCACTGAGAGAATGTTATTTGTTGATGTGCTGCTGCAATGCCTTCTGCATGCGTTTCCAAGATTGTACTTAAGGGCTGATGCTTAAATACTTTTTTTTGCCACTTTTTTTTTAAAAACTTATTAATTTTTTTAAAATACCAATCCAAATTCTTACTCTTTCCCCTTCTCCCATTACCTCCACATACCCTCCCACCCTACCCCCATTTAATCCTAAGAGAGGGTAAGGCACATTGCTTTGTGGAAGGTCCAAGGCCCTCCCTACTATATCTAGGCTGAGCAAGGTATACATCCAAAGAGAATAGGATCCGAAAAAGTCAGTACATGCAGTAGAGATAAATCCTGGTGCCACTGCCAGTGGCCCCTCAGTCTGCCCCAGCCATGCAACTGTCACCCACATTCAGAGGGACTAGTTTGGTCCTATGCTTGTTCCTTCCCAGTCCAGCTGGAGTTGGTGAGCTCCCATTAGCTCAGGTAGACTGTTTCAGTGGATGAACCCTTCATGGTCTTGACCTCTTTGCTCATATTCTCATCCCTTCCACTCTTCAACTGGACCTTGGGAGCTCAGTCCAGTGCTGCAATGTGGGTCTGCCTGTTTCTACCTGTTGTTGGACAAAGGTTCTATGGTGATATTTAATATAATCACCAGTCTGACTATAGGGCAAGTCAAGATCGGACTCCCTCTCTATTGCTTAGGGTCTTAGACAGGGTCACCCTTGTGGATTCCTGTTAATTTCTCTAGAGCCAGGATTCTGCTAACCCGATAATGTCTCCCTCAATCAAGTATCTCTTTTCTTGCTCTCATATCTGTCCTTCCTCCATCTCGACTATTCCATTCCCTCAAGTTCTCCTCAACCCTCCCCTTCTCTCCTCCTCTTCCCATTCTACCCTTCCTTCTCCCCCACCCCCTATGCTTTCAATTTTGTCAGGCGATCTTTTCTTTTTCCATTTTCCAGGTGGGTCTATATATGATTTTCTTTGGGTTCATCTTATTACTTAGCTTCTCTAGGATCATGAATTATAGGCTCAATGCCCTTTGTTTATAGCTAGTATCCACTTATGAGTGAGTACATACCATATTCATCTTTTTGGGTCTGGTTTTCTAATTCCATCCATTTGCATGCTAAATTCAAGAACAATGACATCTTGAATTTTTCTTAAATACTTTTTACTACTTCAGGTCTTAAACCAGCTTTCTGTCTTTACATGAGGATTACAGGCATAAAGAATACAAGGATGGCCTCAAACGGTGTGGAATGCTGTCAGAGGTACTCAGTAGGCAGCAGTGTGTACACACGTCTGTACTTGCTTTGGTATAGGGGAGATCATAGTATTCAATTCGAGTCTGTGAAGCCCCAGACTTCCAAGGACCACATATTGATTATAATTGCTTAAATCAGGCCAGGCATGGTGGTGCACACCTACAATCTCAGCACCAGGGAGGTAGAGGCAGGAGGGTCAGAAGCTCAAGGCTAGCTTGGGATACACGAGGTCCTATTTCCAAACTCCTGAAAAGTGCTTAAATATTTACTCCTGACTCTTCCCCCTAATTTTTCTCAGGCCTACCCCTCTCTCGGTGCCCCTCTCAAACTTTCTGACCTCTTTTTGTTATACCCCACTGAGTTTAATTTGTTCTGTAAAGGTGTGGGACTATCCACTGCCCTTGATCAACCAGGCAGGCCTCTTTGAGCTTTCAGGTGTAAATAATCAGAAGAACCTGATTTTTAAGTATTTAACACATTTGATGACAGCCCCTCACGCCTGAAAGCTCCCTAAACAAGTAGAAAAATCAAGGCAGCTGAGCTTGAGCTGCCTGGCAAAATCACTTAAAGCAGCCACGACTTCCCCTTTGTTTCCTGAGTGGTGCTGAGCTGGAAGTCTATCCAAATGAAGGTCTCTGTGACTTTGGAGGTCTTAGTTCTCTCTGCTGTCTTGGTCTGGCCTTGTGCTTGGAACATTGACATCAATGGTAAATGAGCACTTGGATACTTCGTTAGGAGGATGCTTTCTTGAGAGACTGGGGTGAAATGGTGGCTTTCTGCTTCCTCTCCTCCCTACAGAGCCGAGATGCTCTGGAATACAAACGCTTTTAGGCCAAGTAGACTTGTGAATCCACATTTTCCTCTTTCTGCTGAACGTTTTAGTTCTCAGACACCCCCTTTCCTATGCTTTGGGGTTTTCTCTGTCATGCTTCTCATTTACACAAATACTCCATGGCTCTGAGTCTCAGACAGTCTTTTCAAACTTACTGGCGGTTATCTGTGCTTGACAGTATTATAGGATTGAAATTAATCGTATTGTATCTCTGAAACTGACCTTCCTACTTTTGGAATCTTTCTATTTTCACTTGATGATGATATTGCTTTTTATTCTTTTAAAAGTACTGCACTGGCTGGTTGGGGTGATAGAAGTCTACAAGCCTAGCAACTGGGAAGGGGAAGCTGGAGGATCAGGAGTTCAAGGCCATCTTTGGCTGCATAGCGATTTCAAGGCTAGCCTGGGCTACAGAAACATAGACACAAAACTACTGCTCTGCAAGTCACCGACATCAGGTCTCTGATGGTCCTAGGAAGCCAGAAGATAAAGATAAATCAATTTTTCCTGTTTACAAGTTTATTTTGATATCTATCCCCCCTTTTATCTGGAATCAAGATGTTTCTTAGCTTTAAGACCTGGCTAACTGTTAGCTTTTCTAAGGTAGAATTGTTATGTGATTATTTACGAAGTTGACTTCCTGTTGCCCTCTTTTGGAAGTGGGGTTTCTTTCAGGACTGATGTATAGGTTTCTTGTTTATCTATTTGGCCTGGAAACCTTGTAGGAGTAAGGACCGTGTACAGTCTGATATCATTTCACTTTAAGATGAGCCCTTTAGGCTAGTGTAGCTGGATGGGTGTAGCAGTTAATTACTGATACAATAAACAACACGTGCTGAGACCAAGTGGTAACCGGCATATTCCGAGTCTCCAGGATGGAACGATTAAGGAATCTGTGTCCTGGTCCTTGCTAGTGTCTGGGGGGGGGGGCACGGAAGAATTTGTTTCAGCTAATATATATATATAACAGCTATCTGTTTATGGCTGTCAGTAATTTCTCAGAGGCTGGAGGGACCACTGCACAGCATCAAACTGACTGGAATGTGTGATGTGTAGCAATAGTGAAGTTAAAGTGTGGGCCCCCAGGAAGCCCAAGCCCACCTACATTTTAAGCCCAGTTTTAATCTCAGGTGTTGAGATATATTTTTTTTCTTTTAAGGAAGATCTTCCTGATTCTCCTATTTAGGGGGTATTAGAATAGCATTTTAAACACAGAAAGATGCATAGATGTAGAACACCTGCCTTTTCCAAACCCGAATTTCCCCAAATGTGCCTTTCTTCGTGGTGATGGATTTTCTCTAAAGAACAAGTACTCACAAATTGATTTTGAAGACCTGCGTGGCCATGCACTCATTGAGCACCTGTTTTCCATTCAGGGAAAACTCATTATGGGACACTCCTCCTGATGCAGCCACTAAAAGCCACGTTAGTGGTTGACTTCCTGAAGATTTCAGTGTAGGTGCTAAGGGAGGGTTTTTCCTAGGCCTGGGTTTTCTTTAAGGGTGGGTTTCAGATCAAAGCTCTTTCAGACTTCCAAACAGGGAGGTGGGGGGAGTTTTCTCTCTTCCCACTCCTTCCTGTCCTGGCCGAGGCTGTCTGGAGTTCCTCTGGACCTTATCTTCTCTTTGTCCCCTCCCAAAGGTTGTGGGAATACATTCTCCTCTTTCACACACTCCTGAATAGAGCACCCTTTGTGGAATCTCAGTTCTTCAGAAGGAAAAAAAAATCATAGGCGATTGTTTTTGCTATCTTCGTATATTTATGTTTTTTCACCTGTGAAATATCAGACACCTATGTATCTGAGAGTTATTAAGCAAGATGATGGTAACCTCAAAGTCGTTCATAGTCGACTATTTAAGCCATGTTTACGGTTGACAGAAAAGTAGCTCTTTCTTGAAGTTAATGTGCACCTGACACTTTCTCCTATGTATCTTTCTGCAGTGGAGATAAATTGTTCTCAGGACTGGTTGATGGTCTATGTTAGCCCGGATGCCCAGGATGGAAGCAATTCATTTATTTTCTCTGATGAATTAATTCTGGGACAAGGCTGCCCTGCAACTAAAATACACACATATCGATACGATTTTGTATACCTTGTTAGTGACTGTGGCATCAGGACGAAGGTGAGAATGCTGCTGTCTGTAACACTACTGCGCGTTCTGTCATGCTATGTGCTTCCTGCTGACTCTACGGTCCTTTACTCCAACCGTATCCCTGGTCCTCCTGATATTGATCTACCCTTCAGGCTCTCCCACTTATCCCTCCCTGACTATTTGGTCAATTGCTTGCTCAGAACCTCGGAGCACAGATCTGAATAGACTCTCTAGTCCATTTCACAAAATCTTAGCAAACAACATTAAAGCACAATTTTACTTCTATTTATCTGTATTTGTGTATGAATGTGTGCATTGTATCCAGGCATCTGTGAAGGCCAAAAGAGGACTTTTGATCCCCTGAAGTTGGAGTTACAGACAACTGTGAGCCACCTGACATGGGTGCTGACAACCAAACTTGGGTTCTCTGGAAGAGCCTCAAACACCTTTGCTCACCCAGCATCTTCCCAGGCCCTGACAAAGAGGTTTTTTTTTTTAATTTTTTTTAATTTTTATTTTTTTATGCTTGCTCCTAATGTGCCAGACCATCAATCCTTGCAGTGTGCTTGATATTCAATATTTAGTCATCTGAAATCTATCCACGCTCCTATAGGATTTAATATCTGTTGGCTATTCAACTAGGGATGAATCTAAAACTGTGCTTTCACTCTGAGACATTGTTTTCCTATAGATTTCAATTTATATTTATCCTATAGTAATATTTTGAGCCATTCACTGATGAGTTTAGTCAGCTATGATAGGACACTACCTTTGATAAATGAGGCACCGGCAGTTTCAGATGGTGTTTGCACAATTGCCTAAGGGGTGATTTGTTGGAAATTATGATATCAAATGAGATCATTTTCCTGCCAATACACATACTTTTCTCAAAACACACATTTTAAGCTGCTTTTGTTATTTGACTTTAAATAGTGTTACTCCAAAAACAAAACAAAACAAAAACTGCTGAGGGCTAGAGAGATGGTTGTATGAGTAGGAGTGTTTTTTCTGCAGAAATGAGAACCTGACCTTGAAAGCCCACCAAACCATGTAAAAAGCCAAACATGGTTGTTCAGGCCTATAATCCTCGAACTGAGCAGAGATGGGTGGATGCTAAGTGTTGCTGGCCAGCAAGCTGAGCCCAAATGGTGAGCTTCTGGTTCAGTGAGAGGCCTGCCTCATGGCAATGAGCAGCATGGTAGAGGGAAACATTAACATGCTTTGGCCTCTGTATGTGCACAAATGGGTGGGTACACACGTTCTTACATGTATCAGTACATGGAGAGAGAGAGACAGAGGGACAGAGAGAGACAGAGGGACAGAGAGAGACAGAGGGATAGAGAGAGACAGAGAAACACACAGAGAGGAAACACACAGAAAGAACACAGAGATGACAGAGAAACAGAGAGACACACACAGAGATAGAGGCAGACAGATAACCGTTGAAAGCTTTTCATTAATAATTTATTACAAAAATCTCTACGTGGCAGTTTGTTTGCTTCTATGTCTTAGGGTGCCCCATCTCCGGGTACTTTCAGTCCACTCTTCCAGTCCTTTCTGTTCCATTGTTAAGTGACTGGACCTCCACATGAATCTGAGAATGACAGACACCTCTTTTGAGATAATTGATGTTCTATGTTTTTTTGTGTTCCCATCTGCGCATACCTCTTCTGTCGCTAAACTACCTTCTTCCTAAAGTATGTGATTTCCTAGGTTATCTCAATGAACACTATCCATTTTGAAACTGAGATGTACTTTGTTCCAAGGAATAGTCGTTTTGAAAACCAGACGATCCCTTTGGAGTGTTCTGCATCTCGGTGAGTCCTGCAGCCATCTCCTTTGAATTGCTATCGAGACGCTGAGATTTTACAGGCTATATCCTGACTTCCCCGTGAGAAGAATTCAGACAAACCCCAGATTATTATTTGTAAAATAGTTCAGTAGATACCCTATTACCTTTCATTTTTAAAAGTTAAATATATTGCCTAATTTTAGAATCAAAACATTACAGGGTTGAAGGTTTCTAACGTACAATCTAGTGGACTTAGATTATTTTATAGTTGTGTAGTTTACAAATCAAGATAATGAAAAACTTTATCATATGTAATAAATAAGGCATATATTAAGTAAAATTATATATATATGCTAATTTTGGAGTCAAATTTAGTTTTCTTACATTTACTTGTTCACTTAATTATTTTGTGTGTATGTATGTATGTATGTATGTGCCATAGTGTTTGTGTGGAGGTCAGTGGACAATTTGTGTTAATTGTTGCTCTTCTTCCAGTCTGTGGGGTCTGGACATTGAACTCAGGTCGTAAGACTTGCTGGCATACACCTCTACCTGTTGAGCCATCTCACTGCTCCATGGCATCAATGTATTTTGCTGTTATCTCTTTTATAGTACACTTCTCCTGATTAACTTTCTTCTGTGTTAGGAGACTGCATGGCTAAAATATGTACGGAAAACCAGTCTGCCATTTTAATATGAACTCACAGAGAAGGAAGAAGAATGTGTCCACTTGTATGAATAATGCACTTGCTTGCCATTTTATGGATCCTGAAAGTGTTCTGTCTTAGTTTGGGTTTTTATTGCTGTGCAGAGACTCCATGACCACAGCAACTCTTATAAAGCAAACATTTAATTGGGGTGGCTTGCTTACAGTGTCAGAGGCTCAGTCCACTATCATCATGGCAGGGAGCATGGTGGCATGCAGGCAGATGTGATGCTGGAGTTGAGAATGCTACATCTTGTAGGCAACAGGGAGTCAACTCTCTGAGCCTGTTCCCTAGTGACACACTTTCTCCAACAAGGCCATGCCTCATAACAGTGCCCCTCCCTTTGGGGGCCATTTTCTTCCAAACCACCATATACCTCGTAGGAACTCTGAGATGAGATGCAATAGTATTCTCATTGCCGTATCATAGAAATGTTTACATTGAATGTTATAAACGCTTAGGGGACAAGTGTAGAAACCACAGAACAACGTACAATCTTGTCTAATATATAAAAATACTTAATATAAAATAATTTAGAGCTAAGAGAAATGTCTAATATCTTTTAATATGGCAAATCAGACTTCCGGTTTTTTTTGTTTGTTTCACTATGGTAAAAATACAAGATAAAATTTACCGTCTTTACCACCTTTAAGTGTGGATTTCAGTTGCAGAAAATATGTTTGCCTTGCTAATATTTCTGACTCTCTTTTGAACTATTTTCCTAAAGCAAACTAAGCTGAGGGATTTAGTGACATTCTGGGGTGTATCAGAACCCCAAATAAAAGCCAGATTTGATTAAGTTATACATGAATAAATATATAATCTTTCCCATATACTACTGATTGTTGGTTGTAATGTAGAATTCTGACCCGTTGCCTCAGGCCTAGGGCTTCTGCAGAGTCTTCTAGATTAACAAGAGATGAAAGGGCATTCCCCTGTCAACAGTAATTGCTACCTTGTTTTCTGTTTACCTTCCTTAGGCAAAATGACGACTGTGGGCTGGAGAGATGGCTCAGCAATTAAGAGCACTTACTGCTTTTGCCAATGACCTGGGCTCGATTCCTAGCACCTATGTGGTGGTTCACAACCATCCATGTCATCTCCAGTTCCGGGGGAAGCGAAGTCCTCTTCTGATTTCCATAGGCACCACATTTTAAAGTGTTGTCTAGTCAGACAGACATACATGGTCAGAGTTTTTGTGCATAGATTTTAAGTTTGTATACAAAAACGCATATATTCATCCACATTCAAAAATCCAAATTGCTCACTGGCCAGGAACTCACTATGTAGATCGGGCTGGCCTTAAACTTGCAATGATTCTCTTGCCTCTACCTCCTAAATCAGCATATTGAAAATGGTGGTGTTTATTAAAGGTAGGAATGATTTGACCCCCAAGTCTAGACACAGCAGGACGTGTCATCAAAGACTCCAACCTTGATTCTCTCTGTTCCCTTTTTCTTTAGGAAGTCAGTGTGGCTTACAGCAGTGTCTACAGATGAGGACCCAAAGGTGCCTGCAAGTGTCTTTATGACTAATCTTCAAATCACACCTGAAGACCTGGGGTTACTAAACGTTCCCTAAGCTGCTTCCTCCTGCATAGGAGATGGGAATAGTGCTGGCATTGTGGACTTCACTGTGCAACAAACCCCTTTTCAATAAGAACAACGCTGCCATAAACTTCTTAGACATTTAATTTCTGTACACCGATTAAATAAATGCTTTGCTTATGAAGATGTTTCTTCAATAACTTTATCCATGGGTATGACTTATTAATTTGATGTTACCTAGTAGACATTTTATATTATCCATTTAAATTTTGTTTTCTGTTTTGTACCCAGATTCAAGAATATGTCCTTTGTGGCACTTTTGAACATTGAAAGTCTATTTTTTATATTGTGGCATATGAGTGCATATGCATGTCACAGTACATGTGGACAGGGCAGAGGACAACCTGTGAGACATGGTTCCCTTTGCAACCACGTGAGTCCCAAGGATGGAACCCAGTTGTCAGGATTGGTGGTAGTAACCTTTATCTGTCTATCCATCCTACCGGCCCACATGTTTTGACCTAATAGAATTATGTTCTAAACGTTTTTAGTAAGAATTGTGTACAGAGATAGGTGTATTAATGTCTCAGAATGGAAACTTTGAGCCTTGGGCTGGAGAGATGGCTCAGAGGTTAAGAGCATTGACCACTCTTCCTAGAGATCCGGAGTTCAATTTCCAGCAACCGAATGGTGGCTCACAACTATTTACTATGGGATCTGATGGGCTCTTCTGGCCTGCAGGCATACATGCAGTCAGAACACTGTATGTATAGTAAATAAATAAACCTTAAAGGAACTTTGGGCCTAGTTTAAGTTTTAACCTGCTAACTCTCAGGAAAGAGAAATATCCTTTTGTTTGCAGACACTTTAATTTACACAGTGTCCTAATTTATCAAGCTGTGTTCTAGAACTAATTTAATACGGCAACATACTCAGATGACAAATCTAGAAAAAAACTCAAGGTTTTTAACTGAAGCAAACAGCCTCAATGCTGAAATTTGATGTTATTGCCTTCTGTCGTATCTCATCCACATTTGGAACATGTTGAATTAGGAGCGGCAGGGCTGCGTCCCCGGCTGACCGCATGGCTAGCTTATGCCCCGAAATAATTACACGGAAACTGTATTCTTTCAAACACTGCCTGGCCCGGCTAGTTCCAGCTTCTTATTGGCTAGCTCTTACATATTGTTCTAACCCATTTCTAATATTCTGTGTAGCTCACGATCTGGCTTACCAGATCTGTGTCTGTCTGGAGCTGGAGAATCATGGCGACTCCTTGACTCAGCTTCTTTTTCCCAGAATTCTCTTCTGTTTACTCCACCTACCTAATTTTCTGTCCTATGAGGGCCGAGGCAGTTTCTTTATTATTAACCAATGAAAGCAACAGATAAGATACAAGACCCACCTCCATCATT